CTACAGAACAAACTGACAAGGGTCAATGTCATCTACAGTACAAAGAGACAAAGGTCATGGTCTTGTGCTATACAAAGTGACAAGGTCAATGTCATTGATGGTACAAATATAACTGATTTGAGCAGATTTATCTGGTTTATCTTATGTAGTGCCATAAGAAGGGATAGAAAATAGAATTGACAATCACTAGTTTGATGTTTTGTCTCCTCTGATAGGAAAATAGAGACATTGTGACATTTCAAATATTCAAAAACAAGGCTTTTAAGGTCACTAGAACTTTCAAGTTTGAAGAAGCCAGTTTAAAACTGTAACCAATTAGATCCTTTTTTGGTCCAACTCCTCAGGCTGCAGATTTGGATAAATATCTTAACTTTTATACCATCCAACTACCACCTCAAGATTCCAACCAAGTTTTAAATATTTACTGGTGAAACAAACAAAATATATCAGAATTGTTATTCCCTGTATAAACCATCATAAACGTTACCCCTCCCTAAGGTGGAACTGATGATCCAGTAGTAATGAAATTCACAACTTTGACAAAGTAATTTTTCTATTTATGAAGATTGTTTTAGAAATTTTGGGGTCTGAAGAAGATTTTTTTTGAATTTTTTGTCATTGTATTCCTTTGCATACCATCCAATGGACCAATAGTATTGGGAACCATATAATCTGTGCTTTATCTTTGCACAGTCATGGCAGCTTGAAAATGTTACAATATCTGATAAATGTATAGTTTCAATTAATTGGAGGTGTAAAATCCTTGATATGTAGGTCACGTTACTTACCAATGCCAACACATTTTGGAGTTAGGAATGTAGATTTATCTTTCCATTGTGCACATACAAGGTTGGTGTTGTTACAGAAATTATCTGTTGAACATGGCAGGTTGGAAAAGTCAGTTGGGATCCCATACTCATCTGAAATTATAGATTTAAATGATCATTATGTGGTCATGCTGTATTTTAAGGCAAGTTTGGTGGAGTTGTTAGCACTCTGACCTTCTATGCAGATCCCTGAAGTGGGTATATTCAGACAAAGTATTTGTTCTCTGTTCACACAACTCTAATAACCGAGGCGGAGAAGAAAAGGTCTGGGCCGGGTGCTAAAGTGTCTGTACTGAAACATCTAGTGGTCGTGAGGTAGCACAGTGTAAAGGAGATGCCATGAGAAGAATGTTCCTTCTGCAAAACAGAACACTAATATCCCTCTAGCACACATGCAGGCACATTCATAAGTGGAGGTATTGTATCAGGTGGCATATGACCAGTAGTTAGCACCTTATGTGAAAAATTCAAATTGTATTGAATTTACTAACTGATCATATATATTGTATACCCATGTATTGTAAAGTATGACCATAGCTGTTAATAGGAGTTAAAACACAAACAAACCAAAACATTCTAGCTATATAGATAGTGCACTGTTTTAAATTGCTGCATCCTGTCAAAACAATTTTTGTTTCCACTGTCAAAAACAACTTAGAATCATACTTACCTAGAGGTTTTTGGCACACAAAAGCCAATAAAGATGTACACGATCTGGTTTCAAAGTTGTAGTTCTCTCCTAGTGTACCACATTTCTCTTCTGAATGATCAAGTTTATTCTCTTTGGTCATCAGGTATTTGTGTACCAAACGTGTGCCATCTTCATACGTATACATGCCATTGATAGGTTTATGTAATCCTACATAGGCTTCACTCCATCCAGCAGCAGTACTGAAAAACACAACTTGTATAAGCATGACTTAATCTACCAGTAAAAATGATGTAATTACAAAGATAGACAAAGCCTATACATGTATACATTGAATGAGTTGTCCGGTGGTTAAACAGAACTTGGTGAAAACATGACCAGTGTGTAAGTGGATCTCTCGTGTGAGATCAGATGCCCAAGGTATAGGCAGCGCGACTGGATACTACTCCAGACTCACATCTGATCTGATGGCTGTTCATTTCATAGCCTTTTTTTACATGTTTCACTTTGATATTTGGGCTTCGCCCACAAGGATTATATAATATTACAGAGAGTAATAATATTTACAGAAGTAAATACTTAGTTGGTGATGTAAATTTTTTGTTTAATATTTCATTATTTTTTTCAAAATTGTCCTATTTGAAGGTATTGTCAGTAAGACTTAACCTAATTATGCAAAAACCTGTCATTATGAATATTATGAAAGAGAAATGCATTTTTGTTTTGGCTTGGAAGTACTTTGGAAGAATTCTGACAGATTTCACTTACACTAGATCACCTATAACATCTGCTGCGAAGACTGCAGGTACGCTGGCTAGAGTGCTGCCCTCTGTCTGACAGGCTGTCACGGCTCCAGTGTAACTACTGGCAGTGTCATTGAACACCTTCAGACACTGACTCTGATACTTCTCCCATCCGGCCGGGCAAACCAACTCTAGAAAATTTATTTTACAGTTACAGTCCTGAACGAGAAAATTGTTAACATTGATTATTAAAAAGACTTGCTGTTTAACAATGTTTAAAA